ATATATGAGAGTGGTGCTCTGGGAGGCCACTGGATTTGGGAGAGTGGTGCTCAAATAGGCCACTGGGTTGGGTGAGTCTCCTCTAAGTCCTTAGCTAGTGTTGGAGCGGGGTATGAGGTCGAGGGTTATTCCCTTAACCAAGTACTCGGGAAGGTGCGTGGATCCTTGCGGATAGTCGGTGGGCGAACTCCACAATTGACTTGCTTAATGCATGCCAAGGTCGTGGTAAGCCCGTACCCAGCTCCGTTAAATTGAAAATTTTTTACTCTTAAATCATATATACAAAATGTTATATTAATCGAAAATGGTTTCTTATAAAACAAAATTAAATCTGTCGAAAAATTTATATTTTTGATGAGAAAAATTTTGTAGGAAAAACTTTATTATTGATGGAATATTTAAGACAAATTTATATTTGTCGAAAATGTAAGAACTGATTTTAAATTTGATATGAAAATATTATGATATAATTAGATAAGATTTTAAGTTAGTATTTTATTAATGGTTGATAATTAAAAAATAAAACAAGGATAAATAAATTTTTTTGAATTTTATATGTTTGATTTAAGATAACTTACAAAATAACTTTTGGTAAAGTTATTCCACTCAATAGCTCATGATGTATATTGAATTTCATCGATCCAATTAATTATTAAGATCGGACAAAATCTCTCTCACACAACAATCCTTTAAAATCCTTAATTTTTGAATATCAATAGATTGTTTTTAAGTTGTAAAAAATCTCAAATGAATACTAGTGGATTTTAATGGACTCTTTAAAAAATCTTGAAAATCCAGATTGAATACCACTGGATTGTTTTTAAGTGGCATAAAATCCTGATTTGAATATCAATGGACTTTTTTACTCAAAAAAAGTCTTTTAAAATACTACGAAATCCTAAACCAATACACCTCCCTTAAACTCTTTTCACCTTTGACACCCGAACCATCATATCTATACATATGTATCATTATTCTTATCTTCAAATATTATCATATTTATAAGCTTCTTTGAATGTGACCGTTGAGTTGCATTGGACCCGTTCAAGTACCATTTTGATTTAGTTTTACATGCATGGCCGAATAGTACAATATTAATTCATGCATATGTTCCGATTCAAAGCTTTATAAGGTCTTCAACACTGGTAAGATATAAAGCATTGTTGACTTGGGCCAAATATTGCTCCTTCACCTACGTAATCCCGAAGTGAGAGGCTCTATCCCTATCTCCACAGAACACACAAACGCAATTACAAAACAAGAACAACACAACACAATGCAAACATAATCTGATTTGACGTAGTTGGGTATTTATTTATACTTTTTCCACATTATAACGTTGTAGAACTTAAAATAATTTAACTCATAATGAAAATTGAAAACATTTTGGACCCTGAAATTTAAGCAAGTCATCCGTGGTCCCTCGAAAATTGAAAAGACATGCAGTTTTTGCCCCTTAAGTTTAAACAAGTTATTTATAATTATCCAAAAAAAAATGAAAAAGCATGCAAATGAAGAGGCACCTTGTAAAATATAAGGAAAAACTAGTTTAATTAGATAGCATCTCATTAATTCTCGTCAATTACTCAATTAATAATCATAAATCGTTATATGAGTGAAAATTATTATTTTTTATTTATAATAGTACATATTATAAAAAAAATTATGCATAAATTCAAAAGCATAAAAAATTAATTGAACGTACTCAAAAATTAATATTGTTATTTTATCTATATTTTTAACTTACAGATAAAAGAAAATGCAAAGGATTAAGTTAGTTAATTGTTAGGATTAGTTATATTTTGTTATAAGATTTGTTAGTTATATATAAAGTTTGTTGTGTGTGTCTCCATATATATATATATATATTCTTTTAGAAACACTCCTCTTATCGTTCTTGTTGACTACGCTTTTAAGTTCTAAGTGATGGCCAAATCCTGTTTTTGAGAGTAGGAAGTGTACATGCAAAAAGAAAGAACTTTGACGTTCAAGTAAGTATTTGGTATAGAGCAAAGGTGGTTATAGTATTAAATGATCGTACCTGTTTCTGTCCCAGCACCCCTGTATTTATAATGATTTATTTGGGTCTAGTGGGCCTTCTGTCTTGGGATGTGGGTAATTAGAGTTTGTAAGTTAATTAGCTCAATCCTAATTGTCGACGTGGCTCCAATTGTCAATGTGGCTCTCGCTGGCTTACTCCCATGTTTTGGAGTGTCGAGAACCTTCTTGGCGTGTCTCAAGACCGAGGGGTGTGGAAGTTTTGCATTACCCTTCGATTGGTCCAAGAGCCGAACGGGGTCTTCGGCCTTGGTTGTTACCGGGAATAAATGCGATTCACCCTTCGGCTAGGCTTGAGGCCGAATAGGGTCTTCGGTCCTGGCTGTGCCCAAGAATAAAGCGCGTTACCATTCGACTGGGTCTAGGGCTGAATGGTGTCTTCGGCTTTGATGGCCGAGTAGGTGTACTACCCTTCGGGTGGTCCTGAAGCCGAATGGGTCTTCGGCTTTGTCTTTGGTTGAGAACATGTGCATATTCCGTACACTACCCCCTAAGCCGTGAAATAGAAGAAGGGTTTTGTGTTAAGTCGTTATCACAAGTCTGACAAGTGTGGGGAGTTGTGACCCCTCAGGTTTTGATTTGACGTTTCTGGGGCACGCCGCCCTTAGGTTGAGCGCCTAAGTGAGTAGGGTTACAACTGGTGACATTTCGTGTCCAGGGGCATTAATGAGGTGCCTCTTCATATTCCCTCGGGGTGTCTATATATACGTCAGTGTGGAGCAGGGAATATGCGTTATTTCTCTTTGACACCTTCGTCCTGAACACCTATTACTACACCCATTTTTTGAATATTATGCGAGGTAGGTATAGTTTTTCGTATAAAATGGCCATTGAGGAGATCGTACTATCTTTTGGGGGTCGTCTAGTGTTAGGGGTTCGGCTGATGGTTCCGATGTTGAACGATCCAATGACTTTTCCAAGAGGCTCGGGTTGAGTGATAGTGCTGACTTAGGGGACTCGTTCGGTTCTCCGTTACCGGATGCCGAGATGGGTCCCCGGGATTATAAGCGAAAATTCCCTCCGTGCCAAGTTCTGAGTTATGAGTGGGTCGACGGGGAGGTGGCGGCCTACTTCTTGCATTTTTATGAGAGGGTGATCGTGGAGCGTCTAATGGGGTATGCTGGTTGGCGAGATGGGAAAATCTAGACCCCTACCCGGTGATGTTGCATCGATGCCGAGCCAAGGGTCCGAGAGAGGCCGGTATGGTGTTTCTTGCGAAGTAAAAAGACCAGGGGGACTTTTTTTATATGTATAAGTGCTTGTTCAGGGAGCTCGGTGTGTCCCTTCCTTTTGATGATTTTCAAATGAGTGTGCTTCGTGTGTTAAACGTTGTGTCGACCTTGCTACATTCGAATGCTTGGGCAGTCGTTCAGGCCTTCCGGGTGCTTTATAAATACCATCACATAGAGCCTATCGTAGGTTTGTTTTTGCATTTCTTTTGTACTCGTCCATCGTCTAAGACGGTGAAGTGGCTATCATTAATAAAGCACGTAGATCGGCCTTTACTTAAACCTTTTACTTCCTCTTTCAAGGGTTTTAAGTCCGGATATCTAAAAGTGATTATAGACCTCGTAGTCGGATGAAATTTCTTCTATGATAGTGAGGGAAATTCGTTGTTCCCCTTCTATTGGACTCGGGAACCTCGAAAGTACGATGAGTTCCCAGCCAAGATGTTGAGTATTGAGGAGGCCTCGGCGTTAGCATACCTGAATACCCTACCCCGAGAGATGCCGGCTTGGTTTTTTATTCTTTTGCCGAAATCCCCTCGGCCTCGTTTTGACTTGGATGGTATGTATCTTGCTTGTTCATTGGTTGTTCCCTTTTGGTTGATGTGTGACTCATTGGTTTTTGTAGGTTGGATGGCACGAGGGCTCAGACTCTCTTATCAACAAGCCCTAAGGAACCAGGCCCCTGCTGGGACCTCGGCCGAGGATCATTGGAGTGTGGCAGTAGACTATGTACCTGTTGTGGCCGAGGCGCGTCCCCCTCCTATGGATGTTGGGTTGCCGGATCCTAATGCTAGGAAAAAGAAGGATAAAGGCAAGTGTAAGGCTGACGTAGTGACTTCCGATGCGCCGAGGCTTAAGCATCATCGGGGGAAGGGTCTTCGACGACTTGGCTATACCCTTGGCCATCGTGGCAAAAGATTTCTTGTCAGCCGAGATCTGGCCTTCGAGGATGATGTCGTTCGATTTATTGTCTGAGCAAGGTCACTTGATGCTAGAGTCGGCATCCCCTTCGGCTCAATGGACAATGGCGTGTGAATTATAGATTCGGGCGACGACCATTCTGCGAAAAGTTGCCCTAGAACCGATGACTGATGCCCACAACCTGCAAAAGTCTTTGGAGGAGACTAAAGTGGCCTTCCAAAAGTCGGTGGAGGCCCACGAAGTAACTTCCAACGAGAAGTTACAATTGGAGGCTGAGGTAGCCAAACTGAAAGAAGCTCTTAGAGATATGGAAGGTCGAGCCTTGGATGTTGAAGATGTTGAAAGGATGAGGGTGCAAGAGGTGAAAGATATGTTGGCTTGGGATGAAACGGCTAAGGCTGACGCCGAAGCCTCCCTTGCCAGTTTTAAGACGGAGTGTGAAAATAAGATCATCCGGGAGCATGAGGTTGGCTTCATGCATGCCGTTCGCCAAACGATGTATTTTTGTGTCATACCTCCCGGTTTCTCTTTTGAGCTAAGCAAGGATTTTTACCAGGGGAATATATGGACTTTGTTAACATACCCGAGGATGCTGAACCGGATGAGGTGGCACCCCCCGTTCAACTGTCGTCAAGGATCCGGGCACCACTATGAATGTTGACGAAGATACTGAAGGTGACGATAATACTGTCAGCAGCGCCTAGGGGGTTCGGTCCCTATTTTTTGGGTGTACATCTATTTTGTTTATGATGTATAGCTTAAGGGTATACTTTTTTTCACTTTTGGTCTACATTGCGGCCATTTTTTTATTGTATTTTGGGCCATCAATGCCAATTTGTGATTGTACCCTTGGAAATTAGTGCCTTTTTATGAATGAAGTACTCGTATGCTCGAATGGTTATTCCGTTTGCATGTTATGTTTTGGACTTGGATTTTCCTACTGCATGGTATTTGGTTGTGCATATATCCTCTTGTCCGATATGGTATTGTATTTTATTGGCTAAGTTTGCGGGGCATGGACGGAATGGGAACCCTTAACCGACTGCTGGTACTTGGGAACTCATTAGCTATTAGTATGGTATTGCATGTACACTCGGCAAGAATTCATATTGTCTTCTTTAGTCGAGTTTAGGCTACCGGGAGGAAGTTGAGGTTTATCGTCCTGGGTCGAGGACATGTACCTAGGTCGGTCTTGATATCTTTGGTACGTTTTTTGTGCTTGAGGGAATTGTATGTCATCCTTGCCTGAGTACCTATACTTGGGAATTGTATGTCATCCTTGGCCGAGTATGTGCACTCGGGAGGGAATGGTGTTTATCGTCCTTGGCCAAGTGTATGGACTCAGGAGGGAATGTTTATCATCCTTGGCCGAGTGTGTGGACTCGGGAGGGTTTAAGCTTGTCATCCTTGGCTGAGAGTATAGACTCGGGAGGGTTAAAGCTTGTCATCCTTGGTCGAGCAAGGGTGCTCGGGATGGAATGTTTATCATCCTTGGCCGAGTGTGTGGACTCGGGAGGGTTTAAGCTTGTCATCCTTGGTCGAGTATATGGACTCGGGAGGGTTTATGTTTATCATCCTTGGCCGAGTGTGTGGACTCGGTAGGGTTTAAGCTTGTCATCCTTGGCCGAGAGTATGGACTCAGGAGGGTAAAAGCTTGTCATCCTTGGCCGGGTATATGGACTCGAGAGGGTTTATGTTTATCATCCTTGGCCGAGTGTGTGGACTCGGGAGGGTTTAAGCTTGTCATCCTTTGCCGAGAGTATGGACTCGGGAGGGTTAAAGCTTGTCATCCTTGGCCGAGTGAGCATCCTTAGCCAAGTGTTATATTTGGGAAAGTATTCACTCTTCTATTTTGATCGAATGAGAGAGTTCGGGAATGACTGTGGAACAACTTCAAAAAGAACAACTTGTTTCATTGATGAGGTGCCTCGTTAAAAACCTTTCCCAGTAAAACCTCTTTTACATTTTCATAAGAGGGAAAGACCTGGGGAAGGAAAAGAGTACACCAAAACAATTATACATGGCATGTTACATTAACTGAAATAATGCTTCAAGTGTGTAATGTTCCATGTTCGTGGGATGGTTTACCCGTTGAGCTCTTCAAGCTTGTAAGCTCCATTATTGAGACTATGTTGTACCCTGAAGGGGCCATCCTAGTTGGTGGCTAACTTTCCCTGTGCTTTATTCTTTCTCGCTTCGCCAACGACTCTCCAAACGAGGTCTCCTGAGTGAAATTCTCTTGGCCTAACTTTAGTCCTGTATTTTCTGGATACCCTTGTTCTAAAAGCTTCCATGTTGATGAGTGCCCTATCCCTTGCTTCGTTGATCAAATCAAGCTCCACGCTGAGTGCTTCGGTGTTGGCTTCTTCATTGAGTTGTTATCATCTCAGAGAGGGTTCTCCTATTTCAACTGGGGATCATGGCATCTGTACCATATGTTAGTCGGAAAGGAGTCTCTTTGGTGGAACTTTGTGGGGTACACCTGTAAGCCCAAAGGATTTCCGGCAGTTGATCAAGCCATAAGCCTTTAGCTTATCCTAAGCGCATTTTAAATTCTTTCAAAATGACTTTATTGGCTGCTTCCGCTTGACCATTAGATTGAGGATGTTCTACGGACGTCACCCTATGCCTGATTTGTAGTCCCTCGAGAAAGTCATTGAAACGACGGTCTGTTAACTGTAGGCCGTTATCCGTGATAAGAGCGTGAGGAACTCCGAAGCGGGTAATAATGTTCTTCTAGAAGAACTTCTGGACGTTATTGGCTGAAATGGTGGCCATCGCTTCTGCTTCGATCCACTTGGTGAAGTGGTCGACTGCAACTATGAGGAATTTGACCTATCCTTTTACGGGTGGAAAAGGTCCTAGAATTTCCATCCCCCACACCGAGAAAGGCCATGGGGTTGTGATGAAGTGCAGCTCCTCAGCCGGTTGATGTGCCACGGGTTCGTGTTGTTGGCATGGTTTACACTACTGGGTGAACTTGGCGCAATCAATTGTAAGGGTTGGCCAATAATATCCGGCCCAAAGGACCTTTGCTGCCATTGTCCGTCCTCCCAAATGAGTTCCACATACACCCTCGTGGATTTCACGGAGGACGTACTGTGTTTGTTCTGAAGTTAAGCATTTTAAGAGTGGGGTTGAGACACCTCTCTTATATAGTTCTTCCGCCACCAAGGTATACTACGCGGTCGTTGTTCATATTTTCCTGGCCTCAAGGTGGTCGACAAGTAATTAAAGTTAGACATGAAACACATAGAAGGGAGGCTTGAATATGTGTGTGTAAGAAGGAATTTTAAACCATTTTTGCAAGAATGATGTTCCTCGTCCAATGCACGTTTTGATACCAGACGGTTATGCAGAGTTTACTTAACACAGGGTCATTGCATCTAAAAGATTTATCGTCTGCTGAAGGAAAATGTTTCACATAACAATAATGATTAAAGTTCTTGCATTTTCCTTTTCAAGATAGTTTCATTTAAAGACAAGCAGTAGATAAAACTCTTTAGTGTATTAAATATATATTAAACAAAGTTTGCGTTTGCATCTGAAAAATGATTTCACTAAGAGATTCAGGTTGGACGAAGTTTTTCACAAAGTTTTAACCTGTAATGAAGATATATGTCTGAAAAATAGGAATTAGCAGTGTAAGTTATTTTATACTGGTTCACTCTGACCGAGCTACGTCCAGTCTCCTTCAATTGAAGGGTTCCACTAAATATGCAATTAAGTACATAAGTATTATCAACCACTTCTGACCCGTCGACTTCACTCATCAACACTAGTATTTTCTTATCAGCCTCTTCAGGCTAGTAGTGAGTATTACAGACCACTCAGGTCACGACCACTCTTGGTCACGAGTATTCTAGACTACCCAGGTCACGGCTACTCCTAGTCACGACTATTCTCAACCACTCCTGGTTGGTTAGCTTCACTCACTAGCTCTAGTATTCTTAAACCATTTCTAGTTCCCCAAGTATTCTCGACCACTCCTGGTCCGCTAGCTTCATTCACCAGTGCTAATATTTTCTTATCAGCCACTTCTGGCTAGCAGTGACTATTCTTTTTACAAGTATTTTATCCCTAGCCTCTTCAGGCTTTATAGATGATAGACGTATAATCAGGTTTGAGTGTTTGGGTTACTCTCATAGAGAGGATACATATGTGATTTACACTCTCTAAGGTTTCACTACCGTAGTCCTACAGAGATTCTGAGTGTCTGGGTTACTCTTTATAAAGAGGATACATAAGATTACAACACTTACTAAGGTCTCTTTCCTAAGATACACTAGGAACACCTTAGACTACAGAGACGAATATAATGATACATTATAGATTTGACTATGAAGAATCAATCTCTAATTTCTCTATTTTTCTTTTGGGCTTGATATTACTTTTGGTGCTTAATACTAATAGCCCAAGGCAATGCCTATAGTTATTTTTTCGTTGCTTCTTGCCAACCTTTTTTGGTTTGAGGTTATTGCATACTTATAGGCCTATAAAATTTGCCCGTTGCATATATCCGTTGAAGCTAATATAATCGTTCATGACTAGTTTGATCCTTTTATTTAATGCATTTGATCTTGCATTAAATGTTGCTTCCTATTTTTAGACATTGCGTGTATTCTTCTCTATCCTATTGGCAGCAGTGTTTGACTTTATCTGAGACCTAGGAATTGTTTGTCTTTTTCTGGTCATGCAGCAATATAGTCGTTGTCCTTATCAAAAAAGTAAAGTACTTTTTCTGACACATGCATGTTTTTTCTTTTGCGTGCTTCTCTTCTTCTTCATTTCTTCATTTAGATCATGCATTTTACGTTGAGAACTTTTGTGTGGTCATATACGATGTCCTAGTTTGTTTCTTGAGACTTGATTCTTTAATTGCTTGTGTGGTAGTCTTCATCTTCATTTGTTGGTCCTGTGCATCTCAATCTTGTAGACACCCAATTTCATCTGGGGGCATACAAACGAAGAAATGGACGTCTATTATCAAGAAAAGGAGCTCCCAATCATGGAAATAACAAGACATGGCATCAGAAGGCTAAAAGCTCAAAAAAGCTGGTTTTAGTAGCCCGGAACGGGCTGTTCCAAAATCTATCGGGCCGTTCCAATTTACAAAAAGAGCCTAAAACACTAAACCGGAATGGGCCATTCCAAAGTAGGAACGGGCCGTTCCAAAATTGGAACGGACCGTTCCAGGCTCTTTAAAAAAGGCTAAAACATACATTTGGAACGGGCCGTTCCAAATAACAAAAAAAGGCTTAAATCCTTAATTTGGAACGGGCCGTTCCAGAATGACATTTATGTGTTAAACGCGCCTCTGGAACGGGCCGTTCCGATTTCAGAACGGGCCATTTTGGACCCTGTCTGAAGCCTATAAATAGGCCGCTTGGGCACATTTCTGAGGGGACTCCAAAATTTCGTCCAGACTTCCTAGAGCACGAAATTTCTCTCTTCTTCTCTCTTTTACCCTCTCTTATATTTCTTGAGATTTTGTGAGGCATTGTAGTGTGAAAGGTTGCCACAAAGCACCTAAAATATTCCTGTTTTGAAGATTCAATAGAGCTCATTCAAGATGTATTTCAGTCAATCTCTTTCTCCTTTTTTTATTTATTTCTTCTCTATAATAAATATTATTATAATAAAAATAATCATGTAGACATTTTAGGGTTAATTGTATAATTTAAATTTCAAGCATGTAAATAATTATTAATAAAAGGGGATTTAATATTTATATTATTATCATTTATAATGCTAACTTAATCATAGGGTACCAATTAAGGGCGTTGTAGGGGTGCTTAACATCTTCCCTACATGTAACCGACCCCCGAACTCAATTATGGTTATCAAGACCATTATTAGACTTTTAAAAACCTTTTCTTTTTCCAATGTTTTGAGTAAAAC